CCTGGCCATACGCTACCACATAAATTTCAAATATTAAACATCTTGTACTTTTTATGACGTCACGGCTAGGCGAGTGTGACCCCCGGTTGTTACAGCCTGTCATTATTTATTCCTTAATTACAAAACTGTGAACAGAAAACAGAATCATAGAAATATGACAAATATATAAATCTTACGATGTTTGATATATTTAATATAAGTTAATTGATGAACGTCCTGATGAAGGGGCACAATTAAGGAGGGTGGTAGGTGAAAAAAGCAAAGAGCAAAAGCTTTATCTGTTGTCTGTTGTACATGTTATTCAAGGCACATAAAGACCACTTGTTCTGGATGAATATTTGTAGTTAATTGCTTATTTTTGATAAGATTTGTCATATTGCAACTCAGAATAAATTGTCTCAAATAACAATTGGCTTTTTACACCATTTCGACCTATCTTTTCGACTTCGTTGATACAGTGTAAAGTTTTGGATAAATTGTATTCAGAAGAGAAGATAAGTCGAGAAGTTCATTGATGAATTACGGCAATAATATAATTTCCATATAGCTTTCTCACTAAATCTCGTTTTTCGTGAGATTTTAAGAGATTTACATATTTGACCTCTAATGACTTACATTACCTTCTTTAAATGGCATCACCGAATTCAGTGAACTGTTTTCTCCTATATTAGCTTTGATTTAAACAATAAGGTAATTTGAATAATTTTCTATGACAATTTAAAAAAAACTTGGGCCAAATCTCCATAGATGCAATGCTAAAAGTCTTAAAAACCTTGGATTATTTATATGTCAACCAACATTTGCATGTTTAATCACCACATGTACATAAACAGGATCATCATGTGGTATATCATTCAAGTTTTATAGAGATTCAACTAGGACTCTTTGATAAGTCATGAAATTAAGCCACTCTTCTAAGATTTTAGCATGTAAGTGAATGGATCTCTAGCCAAAATTAAAAGCTGAATAAAAGATGGCAGCACTAGATTCCATTGCTTTTTCTGCTATTTAGAAAATATTCTATTAGGGATGTTCGTCAGCACCATATAATCACTGAGTAAAAGTAGTGATGCATGATTATAAAACCACCATTGCTCATACGTAATAATGATTAAAGTACAATTTTAGAGGCAATGATATATGATTGGATGCAATACAACGATTAGTTTTACCTGGGATCGTTACAAATCCAAAATATAGTCCCTAATATAATATTATACTTCATATGTTTACGCTGTAGTTCAATGAAACAGGTCGAATACGCGTCATCTTAACACATACATGGACTTTTATTCAGATTTGAACAACTAGCCATCTAAAAGAGAAGGGAATACCAAACATAGTTAAGTACAATTTTTGTTTTGGCGATTTCGGCTACTCTAAACTCGCATATATAACCGCTTGAATAAGTGTCATCTCTAGACATAAATGAAAACTTTTACTTATATTGCGTTCACTATCTAGTCACAATATGTAAGAGAAAGGATTATATACATTATTAACGACAATGTAATTGTCAACAATATGGCAAGTAAAGTTATTTAACACTCAAAATAAATAGCAAACATATAGTCAACTTTTGTTTTGGCGATTTCGGCGCTATATTTTTAAACTCTCTCACTCAGAGTTTATCATTTTGTCATAGGAAATACATAATATGTCGTCCTTGGTCATCTTATTTGTAAAAGCTAGTAACATTTTTAAAACCCAGTTATAGGTAAAAATTTTAGAATCTTGATTTCTTAATTCAAACAAAGCTAAACTTCACATACCATTGAACAATTCTAACATTTCCTCTCAATTAACACTAAATATGGCCTTGATATTGCTGTTAATTGAAATGCACACTGGATTACTGGATAATTAAAATTTATTTAATTCCATATAATTAACATCATCAAAATCCTACTGTAAGTGGTTATTTTGCATAATCATCTTATTTGCCTATTGCCTAATTTTTGTCAGGTTTGGAAAATTAAATGTGGGAAATATCATCTTCATAATTCAATGAAAAGTTTCTTGACATTAGAAAAATCAAAATTAGGAAAATGAATTATCTGACCATTCGGCAAATTAAGCACTCGGATCGAATACCACTAATGCAGTATTTAATAAATTAATTTTTTATCATTTCAATTATTTGTAGACTTATTCGATTCAGCAATAAACTGATACAAACCAGTGGAATTATCTCGACTTTAGGAACCTGAACGACACCTGCCCAATGGGAGCTGTTTTCCGGTCGATGTTCTATGCCTTAGTATTGGTGAATACAATCACGGCGGAAGGTAAGCCCATCGTTGTTACTTGAGACTAGAGACAACTTGCTTGCAGCTTTTAAAACGCTTTCAAAATAGTTTTTGGTACAACATTCCATCGCTTGCCTGTATTCTAGGGTCCGACAGTTCTGACTTTATTATGTCACCACCAAAAGTGGTGACATATTGTTATGGTCTCCGTTTTTTTGCGACGGCGGTTGGTGGTTGGAGGTTGGCGTCCGGCGTCTGTAACAATTTCTTACAACTTCCTATAACTTAACAAATACTGTTTAGACTGACTTCAATTTTTTTCTAAATCATCTACATGTTCTCAGAAGTTCAAATCTGACTTTAGATTTGACATTTGACCTTCAATGACCTTCTCAAGGTCAAAAAGGTCTTTTTTCAACTTGCTTCACATTGACTAAATTTTTTTTCAAAATCATCTACATGTTCTCAGAAATTCAAATCTGACTTTAGATTTGACATTTGACCTTCAAATCTGACTTTAGATTTGACATTTGACCTTCAATGACCTTCTCAAGGTCAAAAAAGGTCAAAAAGGTCTGTTTTCAACTTGCTTCAAATTGACTAAATTTTTTTTTCAAAATCATCTACGTGTTCTCAGAAATTCAAATCTGACTTAAGATTTGACATTTGACCTTCTCAAGGTCAAAAAAGGTCAAAAAGGTCTGTTTTCAACTTGCTTCAAATTGACTAAAAAAATTTTTCAAAATAATCTACGTGTTCTCAGAAATTCAAATCTGACTTTAGATTTGACATTTGACCTTCAATGACCTTCTCAAAGTCAAAAAAGGTCAAAAAGGTCTTTTTTCAACTTGCTTCAAATTGACTAAATTTTTTTTCAAAATCATCAACATGTTCTCAGAAATTCAAATCTGACTTTAGATTTGACATTTGACCTTCAATGACCTTCTCAAAGTCAAAAAAGGTCAAAAAGGTCTTTTTTCAACTTGCTTCAAATTGACTAAATTCTTTTTCCAAAATCATCTACATGTTTTCAGAAATTCAAATCTGACTTTAGATTTGACATTTGACCTTCAATGACCTTCTCAATGTCAAAAAGGGTCAAAAAGGTATTTTTTTCATCTTGCTTCAAATTGACTAAATTTTTTTTCAGAATCATCTACATGTTCTCAGAAATTCAAATATGACTTTAGATTTGACATTTGACCTTCAATGACCTTCTCAAGGTCAAAAAAGGTCAAAAAGGTCTTTTTCAACTTGCTTCAAATTGACTAATTTTTTTTTCAAAATCATCTACATGTTCTCAGAAATTCAAATCTGACTTTAGATTTGACATTTGACCTTTAATGACCTTCTCAAGGTCAAAAAAGGTCAAAAAGGTCTGTTTTCAACTTGCTTCAAATTGACCCAATTTTTTTTTCAAAATCATCTACATCTTTTCAAAAGTTCAAATTTGACTTTACAAGTTCTCAGAAGTTCTGACTTTAGATTTGACCTTTGACCTTCAATGACCTTCTCAAGGTCAAAAGGTATTTTCCAGCTTGCTTTAAATTGACCGAATTGTTTTAGGTGGTGACATTTTGTCATGTTAATGCCTTGTTTTCTAATGTTATTATGATGCTTTGATTTTAGGTTATAATATTATTTTAAAGCGATTCTTTTTAAGTTAATCAATTGGCCATATTTGTTTCTTTAATCTTCAAACATGGACAAATGTACCCCCTCCTACTATGGAAATGTGTACAACCCGAGTCACGTATGCTATGGCGAGCGTACGCTTTCTGTCTTTTATTTCTATGGCCAATAGCAATAAGATAAGCTTCAATATGGCTGAATAAAGCTGATGTAATAGATGTTACCCTAAGTCCTGACTATTTAAAAAAGGAAAAAACCATTTGTTCCTTTAATTTCAGTCAAAAAATAGAAAAATACCATAGAAAAATGTAATTTTAGAAATGATTTGCTTTATTTCAGATGAACAATTTGTAAATTGAACAATAACATTTACTTTATATTTGTACACTAAGTGATTGCTGTCGATATACTGTTTGCTAAAAATCAATTTAAAAGCACAGATTTCAATCCAGAAGAAATGACCCCATGTATAATAATTCCTATAGCGAACAATAACTGTCCGTATAGAAATTTCTATACGAAACAAGGTACCCATTCATAAAGTATATCTTATTAGCTAGAGATATGGCTGCATGCAGATACATTTCTATAGTGCCTCCGAATTCGATAACTGTGCATGTTCGTATAGAAATTTCTATACGAGGCGATTGCAAGCTGATGATGAATATAGAAATATCTTTACAAGGACAATGGCTGCCTGTATAGAAATTTCTATAGCATCCCCGATACCTGTCCGTATAGAAATTTCTATACGAGGTAAGCTGACAATGTAATAGTAATAAATTTACAAGGGAAATTTTTATAGTATACCCGAAAACTGTCCATATAGAAATTTCTATACGCAAGGTAACATTTTCTATAGGGATTTCTATACTAAAGGAATGGTTGCCTGTATAGGCTACCCAATAACTGTCTATATGGAACTTTCTAAACGAGGCAAGCTAACAATTTCTATACTAAAGGAATGGCTGCCTGTATATAAATTTCTATAGCATATCCGATAATTATCCGTATAGAAATTTCTATAGGAGGTAAGCTAACAAGTTTTTAAAAAAAAAATACGTTCATACAACCTGGTATTGGTCCCGTTAATACGCAAAGGGGACATTTCCCGATCAACCAGCTCAATACAAGTGGTTCAACTCAGGGTACTTTAGTTCAGGTCCCTAATTCAGGAGCCACAGGTCTTCAGAACACACTATACAATGGCATCCCGATTGGACCACGCATTCTGACAGGTATGGGTAATCCTTCCCAGTTCTCATGGTCTGCACCATTAGATTCTCACCTTAATGAGGCAACTAAACAAAAGATCATTAGTGAAGAATATATAGATTTCAAAACCTTATTGCCAGCCTCAGTCAAGAAAAAGAAAAAGAAGCCAGCTTTTCAATTCGAACAGAAACAACAAGATGACGGCGAGTCTATGCTCATCATAGCGCCAGAGAAAGATGATCAAGATCTCTCTTATAAAGAATGGCAACAGGCCTTCAATATCTTCTGTACAACTTACATAAGACAACATAGTCACGAGGCCGCAAACTTGATTAAATATGGTGACAAGATTAGGGAGCTCTCTAATAATCCCGAGAGCAACTGGAGATACTATGACGAAAGATTCAGGGAGAATAAGAAACATGGACTTCAATGGCATACATGGTATAACGATTTCATGCTTGAGGCGACATGGGTACACAGAGTGCCTAGACAAGTTCAAGGGAAGTGGAAACCCAATGGCAAAGGTCAGAATGGAAAGAACAATTCTTTTCGTGCCATTTGCAATCAATGGAATTCAGGGAAGTTCTGTCCTCACTCTACATGCCCAAGATCCCACATTTGCTCAAACTGCAAGGGCGACCACAGGGTTACAGATTGCAACAATAAGAAAGAGGAAAATGGATGGGGAAATCGTAGCAAGTTTGACAACAAAAGGAAAAACAAGACCCATCCTTTCAAACGAAATTGACATGACATCAAATCCAATAAAAACTTTTATCGACGAAAATAAAATTTCGCCTTATCCCGACTGTTTTGTACAAGACACTCCAGTGAATCCTTTAGTCCTTTTCGATATTCTTGAAGGCTACGATACAGACATTCGTAATTTCCTATTTGAAGGTTTCTCCAACGGTTTTGCCATTCCCTACTTTGGGGATCTCCCTTGTTCTTCAAGTAAAAATCTAGCAATCCCAAAAGACAACCCTGAAGCTCTTCATAACAAATTACAATCCGAAATCGATCTTGGTCACATTGCAGGTCCTTTCACAAGCCCACCCTTTAAGAACTTGGTAATTTCCCCCATAGGGGTAGTTCCGAAGAAAACGGTGGGAAAGTTTCGCTTCATTCATCATCTGTCTCACCCAGAAGGTTTTTCGGTAAATGACGGTATTGACGAAAAATATGCAACAGTCAAATATGGTTCAGTTGATGAAGCTATCGAGCTAGTTCGGGTTGCAGGTCCGTCAGCCTTCATGAGTAAGACAGACATAGAAAGTGCATTCAGAATTGTCCCAATTCACAAGGACTTTCACTTTTTGTTAGGGATGTCTTTAGAAAACAAGTTTTACTTCGACACAAGACTTCCTATGGGACTGAGACATTCATGCCAACTTTTTGAGACCTTAAGTACGGCCCTGGAATGGACTGCAAAAAACGTGTTGAATATTCCTAAAGTGGTTCATATCTTGGACGATTTCTTTATAGTAAATATTGACAAGGACAAATGTGAGGAGGATCTGAACAGTTTTGTAAATTTGTGCGAAACAATTGGTGTCCCCATATCGAAGGAAAAAACACTAGGCCCAGATACTGTCATGTCATTTGCGGGAATTGAATTGGATTCAATTCAACAGGAAGCTAGGTTACCAATTGATAAACTGGACAAGGCAAAAAATTTGATTGATCAACTGTATAGATGCAAAAAAGTTTCGCTGAGAGATCTTCAAAGTATCATCGGCCTCCTAAAATTTTGTTGTTATGTCATTCCGGCGGGTAGAGCCTTTTTGCGTCGTCTCATCAATTTAACAATCGGGGTTTCTCGGCCTCAGTTTAAAATTCGCTTGAATTGCGAAGCTAGAGCGGACTTATTGACGTGGAAGGTCTTTCTTGATAACTTTAATGGCAAAGGGTTTTTTCATAACTCATGGGAGCAGGATGATGGGATATCGTTATTCTCAGATGCATCAGGGACTTTGGGATTCGGGGCCATATTTGACAACCAATGGTTCAATGGCTCATGGGATGAACAAGAATCCAATTTAAATATAGCATTGCTTGAACTCTTCCCCATAGTAGTTGCTTTTCACCTTTGGGCTGATCAATTGAAAAACAAAAATATTACTATTTTCTGTGACAATGAGGCTATTTCTTACATTATTAACAAATCTTCATCGAAGGACAAGGATATTATGGTTCTGTTAAGAAAGTTCACTTTATGTGCACTACAAAATAACATTTCTTTTCGTTGTGAACACATCCCGGGGAAATTGAACATTGCAGCTGACCACCTTTCTCGATTCAATTTACAGGGTTTCAGAAAGGCGGCACCAGAGGCAGAGAGTGCACCCGTGGTCCTGCCCAAGAGCTGGACACTCAACAACTGGCTGCAGAGCTAAACAAAACAATTGACGCAGCTTTGGCTCCAAGTACGAAGCAAACTTGTGCGAGGGTGTTGGAATTGTGGAACACTTTCCAATATGATACGGGATTTCATTTGGATACATGTGACCCAACTACAGTCGCTCTATTTTGTCAATATTTAGCCAAATCTTACAAACCATCATCTATAGGGGGGGGGGGGGGGGGGTGTATAGAGGGTCTTGGAAATGCATATACAATATTTTTTAGCTCTCTTATACCATATACAATATTTTTATACCATATACAATATTTTTCACAGCTCTTATACCATATACAATATTTTAGGTGAAATACAATATACGATAATTTTTTTGAAACTGCTTTTGATTTAAGTTTGGATATCTATAAGGAAATAATATTATACGTATTAGGAGAGAATCCATGTACTAAAGTAAATGTAATATTATAAGGCAAATAGACTCCACATACATACCACAATGATTTCATTTATTACATTATGAATAAGACACCATTCGGGTAAATCCGCATGTTCAGAAAAGCTGTCACCACATTTTATTTTCAGGTAAACAAGTTGATTTAAAACACATCTATGATGTAAGATTCATGACTTCTCTTTAGTGATTTCACAACCTACTTTGACAAAAAAACTAACTTTAACATTTCTGCAATTTGCTACAGCCACTAGCCCATTACCTGTAAAAGTACCATAAAGATATTCAAAATTAGCACAAAACCTGCATCATTGCATTGGAATGGGTGGAACTCAGTATTCCTCTTTGTTATGACCTACGTACTTTCCCATGACTTATTTTAATGTCAATGGAATCCTTCAAAGTGAGCCAGGGAAAAAATCCTTGAAACATAATTGATGCAAAATTGAGAATGTGGAATAAAAGATTCATCATGTGTTCTATGAAAATAAAGTTTGCTGAGGAAAATATGTATCAGATAGATAATGAGGATCCACAATGCACAATGATTTTGTAAAGCAGTTACCTGGAAAATATTAAGTATTGAAAACAGTTTCAGAAATAAAGGACTTCACAAACTTCCATGTAGATAAATTTTTTTTTTTGATTGGACTCGAGTCTGGAAACTAGAGTTTGAAATAAAGGCAAGGTGAGACTTGATTGTTTAAACATTTGAAACAAGAGACACTTCGGGGTTTCAGATAAGGCAGCCTCAAAGACAGTATAAGTTAAACAAAGGTGTGTCAAAATTAAGCAAATTTCCATAAAGGTCAAACCCCATGTTTCACGAATGATTTCAAGGCAAAGATGTATTGATGAGAATGAAAACTACTCTATGTAACTAGAAATAACTTTCTTTTAAAAGACCATGGACGTTATCGCAACAGATTTCAGTCATATATTGGATTTTGGCTATTTTCTGAGGATTTGAACAGGTGCATATGTTAGGCCGATCCAGGACAAGCAGTCATAGAGATTATAAAATAATTTGGACTTTAAGACAGGGAAGGTGCATGGTGCAAACACCCCATCAACATGTTTTTTTCTGTAATGCTGTCCTGATTTCCAGCCCTTTCCACACCTGTCTTTCATTGTTTGTTGCATTGATCACTCTATTGCGTTTTGAGACATGGTTAACATCTTTAAATGAAAATATGATTCATGCAGGGGTTTTAAAGATATCAATTTTGGATGACCAAAATTAAGCTGAAAACAATGGATCACATGAGTTTTCCCTATGGGAAAATAACATGGGAAATACATGTACTGTTTTCCACTTTATCCCAAATAAATCATATTTTAGAGGTTAACTGTGTCTCAAAGTGCAACATATTGGTGCATCAAACATTGAAAAAACATATGTGGAAAGGGCTGAAAATCAGGACAACATTTCAGAAAAACCTTCCCTGTCTCAAAGTCCAAATTATTTTATTACCTCTATGAGTGCTGGAGTTAATGCATTGGCCTAACATATGCACCTGTTCAAATCCCCAATTAATAGCCGAAATCCAACATATGACAGTTTGAAGACCAAATAAACACCTTTTGCTATATTATGCTATATTAGCATTGTGATGCTTGCATTAAAACATGCGCTGTATGCACACTTTACAACTTTTTGAACACTCAAATATTTTGATGATTTATCCCACATACCCCGAAACACGAGTAGCCATAGTGACCATATTTTTCATCAAAGTTAAGATGAGTCAATGACAGTTGGCAGTCTCACGCCTGGTGATCTGATGAAATGAACGGAGGGGGAGTAGCTGATTTTCGGTAAATTCAACAAATGTTGAAGATTTATTTTTTCAAGAAAAAGTTAACAATTGAATGGCTAAAAAACGGAGGGGGGAGTAATATGTCTTTAAAGTGGAAGAAATTTCCACAAATTCGTGTACTTGAAAAATGACCTCACTTACTCAGTAACTTGATGTTACAACTCTGAAAAGTGAAAAATGGGGACATATGGAGTTATTGGAAGTTTTGATATGTCTTATAGACACATTACTCACTTTTTATATAACACGTATGGTAACGTGTTTTACAAAACCAATGATGACAATAGTTTTGTGATAATTACTTCACTTACAAGTATTTATTACAGGTCGTGTAGACCCCTGTTGGTTGATTTATAGCAAAAACATTGGCATTTGCACGTTGGCGATGCTGCACTTTTTTTAATAGATCTTTTATTTTAGATTTCCACAGTTCAAAGAAAATCCAAGAAGACCTAACATATTCCCCTGTCCACTGTGTCTATTCATTTAGCCATTCAATTGTAAACTTTCTCTTGAAAAAATAAATCTTCAAGATTTGTTGAATTTTCTACCGAAAAATCTAGATCTAGATCTACTCCCCCTCCATTCATTTCTTCTGATCACCGGCCGTGATTCTTATTTGAGACTATATTTAACACCTCCTGTGAAAATTTGAATGAAAAGGGCACAAAACTCTTAGTTTGAGAGGGATTTTCTCTAAACTTACAGTATTGATTGACCTGGAATGTGGAACCAATTAGAGAGACTACTTTTCCATGTTTTTCCAACACGGTTACAGTAAGAGAGTTGGCACAATGGGGATCTTTAGGGTACAATTTCTTCATAATTACCCTTCTTAATTCTAGATGCCATATACCATATATTTTCTATTATACCATATACCATATTTTTTACACCTCTTATACCATATACGATAAATTTTGCCCCCTCTTATACAATATACAATAAATTTTCAGCCTCTTATACGATATACAATATCTCTATACACCCCCCCCTCTATAAGAACTTTCATCTCAGCTTTGAGCTACCATTTTAAGTTAGGAGGGTATATGGACCCAACCAATACTTATTTGGTAAGGCAAACTTTAATTGGTTTAGGAAAACTTAACCCATCTTGTGATTCTCGCCTTCCGATCTCCTTATCAATTTTACAAAAGCTGATAAGCATCAACTCTTCAATGAATTTGTCCGACTTTCACCTGAAACTCTTCAATGCTATGTTTACTACTGCTTTTTTCGGTCTTTTGAGGGTTAGTGAAATCACTTGGGCTTATAAATCAAATCATGCAATATCCATACAAAATGTTTCTAGATCTCAAAATACATATCATGTCATACTCGACTCTTTCAAACATGCGAAGCCTAACAAAATTCACAAAATAGCTTTAAACCCGCAACAATCCGATGTATGTCCAGTTCAACACTTAGAATCTTATCTAAAGGTCCGACAAGGTATGGGTCACAATCAACTCTTTTTACTTGAGAATGGATCTCCAGTGAAAAGGTCACATTTTACTGACCACCTCAACTTCGTGCTACGTGCTGGTAATTTTGATCCCACTCGATTCAAAAGTCATAGTTTCCGTATAGGGGGCGC